TAGAGTCTTTAGGGTTTTCTATGTAGAGGATCATGTCATCTGCAAACAGAGAGAGTTTCACTTCTTCTTTTCCTATCTGGATTCCTTTTACTTCTTTTTCTGCCCTGAGTGCTGTGGCCACCACTTCCAAAACTATGTTGAATAGTAGTGGTGAGAGTGGGCACCCTTGTCTTGTTCCTGATTTCAGGGGATATGCTAAGAAATCAAAATTTAAGGCTCTCCAACACTTAACTACTACACTTTTCAGGCCTTCCCTGCGTAGTATTTCTAAGGTATTTAAATATTTATTAAATGAATAAAATTAACCAGTATTTATTCTAAAAGCATTCACATGTATCAAGCAGATCACTTCAAATTCTGCAAGTTAAAGTGTTTTTTCCAAGTAATCGCAGCAGAGAGCTCCCCTTTTTATCCCCGTTATATCGCGATCTGGACCAACAAGGAAGGGGCTTCCTAAAAGGTTTATGAGCACTAACCTAATGAAACAGTGACTATTAAAAACCAGACACAGACAGTGTGACATACACTCTTAGCAAAAAACTGAGAAACAGAATATTAACCCAGAATATTAAACAACTTTTAGTCCCCCATTCCCTGTTCCTGTATCAACTAAAGGTTCTTAAAATAATTTAAAGCACTTGGATATCCTTGGAAAGTGATAATAAAATGTACAATAATATTTCTGCATTACATTTTCATAGATAGGATTAGAAGGAATAGTAAATTGCGTATTCTTTCATTCAAAATACAGAAATCTGAAATATTAAAACAAGTTTTACAAAATTATAATTGGTTTGTGCTGGGTTTTACCTAGTTTTAACACAAATAGTTACTTTTATTACATACTACCTACATTTGAGGGCATAAGAAATATATTTTTCTTGATTATACAAAATGATTCATTGCAAAATGCTTAAATACAGCTCTCTGGGAACATTTCCATGTTCTTATCAGTGACGATAAAGTGAAGAGAAGGCATTTTTCAAAATTTTTCGTGTCAGTGTAGAGGAAAGTGGGATGGGAGGTGACTGAGATCCAGAGTTTAGGTGACTGGCAAGGTTCTCCGATTAGGAGGCTGCAGAGTTGCGGATGGACGCAGGATTTTCTTACCTAGAAATGCTTCAGATTACTGTACTCGAGAAGAAGGGGCTCGGGGATCTCATTAGGACTGTGGAAACTTTCAGAACTCAGGTGTGTGTTCGGCCCGCCTGTTGCCGTAAGCGCCGTGTTCCACCACAACCCCAGCTTCAGCACACTTGCTGTTAGCAGCTCATTCTTTTCTACAGAGATTCACAAACTGGGAACAAAGTTCTCACGCCTCTTCTTCTCCAGAGTTACAGTGACGCTGCCTGCTTCTTCCTTACTCTCCCGCCAGCGGTGGCTTGAGGGGCGATAAGAATGTTGCCAGGTGGGTCCAGGATAGAGACCTGCTTGCCATTTTCTGTTTCCCTTAATTTCACGTTTAACAGTGTATTAACCGTCTGGGGAAGAAGTCCTTTACCAGCTCCCTTGAAAAAGCACACGGGGTCCCTAATCCTCCCTGGACCTCCACTGCGCGCTCGGCCTCCACATCGCCCTCGGCCTGGCGGACCTGCAGCCAGGCGTCAGGCGCTCCTGCGGGAGGCCCGGGCCCGCGCTGTCCTGCCGCCGTCGGCCACGGCTCGGGCCGCGTGGGTGTCCCGCAGGGTCCAGCCCCACGCCGCACAGGCCCAGCCCTGCAACTTTGAATTCAACTTCTGTTTTTCTCCTGACCTCCCTTCATGTCTAATATCTCCTAATTAGCCTCATTGCCTTTGGTCTCCTACCCTCTGAACCAGCTGGGACAATGCAGCCAGTGTTAGCCTTCTTACATATATGATATCATGTCATTTCTCAGCTTATAATAAACCTCGTAATGTTTCCCAGTCACTTCCAGACTTAAATCTCCTTCATGACATGGCTCAAGCCTGCCTGCTTCTATGGAATAACTTTACATATTTCTTTGCTACCTCATTTATTTCTAAAGGCAAATTGAATACAATCCCAGGTGTCTTAAGTCCCTAGGCCAAATGTGAGGGTCCTTGCTTTAAAGAGTTCAAATCTTGCCCTTCATTTTCTAGCTGAGGCCCTGACAGAGGACCAGTGGCCTCAGAGGAGTATTTGAGACAAGGAAGACAATTCTGCCCTACCCTTCCCGCCCCCAGTGAAAATACCTCAGTCCTCTGGACTCTCATATGCATTGCCCTTTTCTCTTTTACATATATAGGTAAACATGGATCATTAGTTTAGTTTAGTTAGTATTCTCTCTCCAAATAGTTTCTTTTGGGAAGCCAAATAAGCTTTACTTAGAGGCTTGCTCAACTTTATTTCGTAAATTCTCTTGAAAAGAGAGTATTTTTCTGTTTTTTCTCTTTGGAGCCAAACCTGCATAGCAGTTTCAGAAGCTATTTGGGAACAGCAAGAGAGAAAAAAAAATGTTTCTTCTGAACTACATTTTTTTTTTCTAGGAGTTTCTCTGGCCTTTTTAAAAATTCATGACTAAGTCATGTTTTTAGATTATGGCTAAGACCTTACTGGTAAAACCAAGATTATAACCATGGTAGCAAACCAGTAACTTGTTTTCAATTTCTTTCTTTCCTCAATAACCCTTGTGTTCTTCTCTGGACAGTCCGAGCATCACTGATACTTCCTCTTGGGAATTTTCTCTCACGTTGGGAAAGGGGGTCGATGAACTCTGATTGAGGTGGTGACCCCATGGGCTTGTGCGTGGATATGATGCTGCTAGAGTTGTTCTGCTGTCGCCGTTCCTGCCGGCTCCATCATCATCCCCAGGCCTAGCCTCTCACACTGGGTGATTGCCGGGGCGTGAGGTTTCTGCACGCCATCAGCTTTCAGGATCTTAGTTCCCCAACCAGAGCCTGGACCCAGCCCCAGCAGTGAAAGCGCTGAGCCCTAATCACTAGACCTCCAGGGAGTTCCCTAGAGTCTTATATTTAGAAGAAGCACCTTGGCTTTCTCAGCTAAGAGGAAAGGCATGCCTTAGCGAATGACCTGTAGCAGTGATCTTCTTATTCTGAATTCAGAAGCACTCATGATTAGAATATAGGTCATAATCTTCTTCCTCTAAATCAGCCGGTGCACTTAACCATAGCAGTGACAGTGGGGGAGGTCTTGACCACTAGTATTTGATTATTATTACTTATCTACTAATTCACTGGTGATTTCAGCATTGTTCTTAAGTGCTGCCATTTCTAGCACTGGATGTACGGCTTTGAGGTTTATTTGCCCTGTTTTTGTCTTCTTGTCTGAAAGTTGCTTAAAAAATACACATGCCTTGCCCTGCACTTGTGGACTGTCACTGCCACCACAGGGGAATAATAATTCATATTCCGTCAGCATGTGGATTGTTTTGTATGGAAAATCCTAGTATCAGTGCTGGCAAAGAGGTGGGGACGGGGGTAGGAAACAGATAGGGTATATCAGGAGCTGCAGTAGGTCATGAGTCTTTGGGCCATTCCAGAATGTGACGTTGAGTTTCCTCTTCGCTGTGGTATGGAGCTAAGGAGTGAACAGTGTGTTTGCAAGTGGATACACGTGTGTCTTTGCACATTTTTTAATGACGGAAATAGGGAAATACTTGCTTCAAGATATTTAGCGTGAGCAAAGAATTTTATGTTAAGAGTTTTCTAAAAGTCAGAGGCATGAAATATAAGAGGCACATTTTACGGGGGAAGGTTTCCCCTCTTTGATATTTACGTATCTCTTTTTCTTCTGTTACCACTCCAGTCCCTTACTACCACCGCCACCAAAGAAAAGCAGGTAGGGGAAACCCTGGAGATGAAGCTGGCATTCTATAGGGAAGTAACTTCAGACAGGTTTGTACTGTGCAGCGCTTTAAGCCGAGGGAGCGCTGGCACAGTGAAGTGTACCACGCTGCAGGCAGTATGCAAACCTGGGGGCTCCCTCAGTGGCTCAACAGGAACGACTCTGCCTGCGGTGCAGGAGACTAGGGTTTGATCCCTGGGGCTGGAAGGTCCCTGGAGAAGGAAATGGCAGCCCACTCCAGCATTCTTGCCTGGAAAATCCCGTGGACAGAGGAGCCTGGCGGGCTGCAGTCCATAGGATCGCAAAAGAGTCGGACACGACTTAGTAACTGACAAATGCGAATTTAGAGTATTATGAACCGTGTATTTGTGTACACTAGAAGCTTGATTAGAGCATAAGGACGTAAAATATGCCTGGAAAGAATGAATCCATGTTCCATTCAGCCTGGTAGTTTTTCTCTAACAGAAGGACCCCCGAAGCGTAGCAGAGTCTGGCTGCTTGTCCTGGTATTAACAGTGAAAGCTTACAGATGTTTCATCCCAAATCCTGGGTTTCCTCACCTGTACTTTATCTAGTATTCATTCATATTTAAACCTTTAAAATATGGTTGTAAGGAACTTACGAGTAAACCCCTATTAGCAGAGTAAAAAATTTCATTTTTTACTACCTGGCATGATAATTAGTATTTCATTTTATTGGTCAAAGTGTATAATAATTTTCAAACTCTTGCAAGTATTTTGCAGTTTTCATATTCTACAGTTTTATGAATAATGTGTGTTCAGCATTTCTATACCTTCTTGATTTGATAAATTACTAGTTCCTCTCTGTCATTTTTGAATAGAACTTAGATTTTTATTAATCTTGCCTCATTACAGAGTTTACTTAAGAGGCATACATCAATTGTATTTCCAGCATCTATATAATAAGAACACTTCTCTATCACAAGGTATCTTTTTTCTAAACCTTTAACAAACATATTTTGACCTCTCATTTTCCATGAAAAGGCAATTAAATATTTTCTTATTCAGAGTAGAATTCCTTTAGGTTTTTTTTTTCCCCATTTTGTAAAACTCTTCTATGACGTCACTGCTGTCCAGGTTTGGAATCATTCTTTCTGCGGGGCCAAGCTCTTGCTCACTCCTGAGCATCTAAGCGTGTGATTTTTCTGACCGCTTGCTCTTCGTGTCTCCCTGTAGCCGTATGTGTCCTTGTCTCAGCAAATGGCACCTCCGAGTCCAAGCAGCGGCAGCGGGAGCGCGGCCAGTGACCAGCTGAGCAAGACCAACCTCTACATCCGGGGGCTGCAGCCGAGCACCACGGACCAGGACCTGGTGAAGCTCTGTCAGGCGTAAGTCGGGCGCGTGCGGGCAGGTCTCCAGGGGCAGTGCAGGGCCGCTGATGCTGGCTTCTCGCCCGATGCGCTTGTCCTGGGACGCGGTGTTATTTGGTTTCTGCCCCTATAGTGACACGGTCAGTCAGCAACCCCCCCAAAGAATCCTATGTGCTGCCACTGCGTAAAGCTTTCATGTGCTTCTCTGAGCAAAGCCAGGTCAGGCCGGCCTGGAAAGCCTCGCAGTACCTGGGTTTGTTTCCAGCGTGTATCCAGAACCGATGGTCTTGGTGGAAAGATTTCTACCCTTACACCCTGAATAAGATATCGATCAGAAGATAGAGTTGGCGATGAGGATAGAAGAAGGTGGGACTAAGTTGAATTATGCTCTTAGGAGAGTTTCTGCTGCTAGAGATATTCCCAGGGACCCAGAGGGGCCCTCAAACTAGTGGATAAAGAAGAATATGAAGAGAGTTGTCACCTGCATTTTCCCCCTAAGGATCTTTGGGGTTCTTTTGCGTAGACTTGAGTCATGAGGCAGAGATAACTACCATGGAATTAGTCCAGTTAGGAAAGCCAGAAAAACTGCAAGAATGCGGAGACACCAGCCCAATTCTGTGTAGCAGAAAGCTATGTGTTTCGGGTCATTTGTGTGGGGGAGTGCTTAGAGGCTGGTAGGAGGGGAGCGCCGACAGGGAAGGAGAGACGGAGCTTGTCCATCTGGCTCTGCCAGGCCTGAGCTGCGGCGAGCGGGCCTTCCCGCGGCACAGGGCTCTTTGGTTGCAGCACGGGCTCGCTATTGCGGCTGTGGGCTTGGCGGCTGCATCACCCAGCCTTGGCTGCTGTGAGGCGTGTGGGACCTTAGTTCCCCTACGAGGGGTCGAAGCCACGTCCCCTGCGTTGGAAAGTGGATTCTTAACCTCTGGGCCACCAGGGAGGTCCCTAAATTTACTGTTGTTTAAAACTGTTGAAGTATAACAAGCATACAGAAAAGTGTAGAAATCCTAAGTGCTTATAGAACAGTGAATTTTCATAAGGTGAACACATCCCTGTGAGAGCCCCTTGTGACACAGATCGGTGGAACATTATCAGCTCTTTAGAAGCTCACCTCCTTGCGACAGTCTCTCTCCCACCCTCAGAGGTCCCTACTGTTGACCTCTGAACGGCCTCTGTGGCTTGTTTGAGCCTCATGTAAACATGACGATGCAGCACAGACCAGTTCATGTCTGGTTTCTTTTTCTCGGTGGTGTTTGGCAAATGCATCCACACTGTTGCCTGTAGCAAAGCTTTGTTCATTCTTCTTGCTTTCTAGAATTCCATCGTAGGAATACAGCACAGTTGATTTACTTGTTCTACTGTTGCTGGATACGGGGTTGGTTTCCAGCATGTGACTGTTTTCGACAGGAACAGTGCTGCTGGGAATTTGCGCACGACTTTTGTTACATGTGTATACACATTTATACTGGTTATAGACCTAGGAGTGGAATTGCTAAATCATAGGATATACATTCGTTCAGCTTTTGTAGATACTAGTAAACAATTTTCTGAAGCGGTCAAACTGACACAAACTCCCGTAACAGTATATGTGTGTGCCAGCTGTCCCAAATCCTGGAGAGGCTGAACATCCTTCCCCCAGAATGTATGAGGCCTCGGAGGTACTCTGTAAATCCCTTAGTCTTCTGAAGTCACGGTTTTGAAATTCTGTTTGCACCAGGCTGCACAGAATCAGTCTCTAAAGGCTGGATATGTGTACAACACTGGATCCTTCACCTCAGCTGACCTTGTTGGAAAAGTATTTAAATGAACTTAGGGGACTTACTCTAGGACTAGTAATTTTTTGAGGGAATAGGAATTGGCCAGAATGTCTTCAGGAGACATAAGAGACATGGGTTTGATCCCTGGGTTGGGAAGATCCCCTGGAGGGGGGCATGGCAACCCACTCCAGTCTTCTTGTCTGGAGAATCCCCATGGACAGAGGAGCCTGGCAGACTGCAGTCCATGGGGTCACAGAGTCGGACACAACTAAAGTGACTTAGCACGTGAAGGGAAAGAGTACTGTATTGATCTAGTTCCTTGATTTCTCTACCCTTTGTTTTTTGAACTAAATCTACTGTGCCACAAACATCAATTCTGTGACTCCACAAGACGGGAAAAGCTCGGTTCTGCTTCACGATACTTTCAGGCTTTCATTTTGTCCTTACTGATCGCTGCCTTACCTTCTGTTGTGTCTGAGGGATGAGAATAATCAGGGTTGGCATAGAGGATGGGAGTAAGGAGCCCAGGAAGGGACTGTAAGTAGGAGTGCGGCAGAGAAAAAATAGGTGCTAGATGAGTGATGATGAAAGGGAGCTGAGAAGAGCAGGTGGGTGGAACCCTCACAGGCTTGTGAGCTGGGAGTTGACGCTCTCCAAGAATGGCGTTTCCCATGCATAGGAGGACTTCCTGCCTTTGTCCCAGCTATCTCTCTAGGTTGTAGGGGAAGTAGCGGTGCTGGATCCTTAGCCCTGGTGGGCAGGAAAGAGAGGCGTGGAGTCTGGAACCGGAGCTCCTGGTTCTCTCTTGGAGGGGCTCCTTCCGTGGAGGAAGCAGCATGACCCAGCTGTTGCCAGCTGCAGTGGAAACTCTGAGCTCAGGCTGCTCAGACCGCAGCGAGCCCCACCCTCGGGCCTGGGTGGGGAGAGCAGCGCGTGTGTTCTCCTTCATCCCTTCCCTTGCCTAAATTTGGGGAAGAATCCAAGCATGCAGCCCAGAAGGCTTAGGATCACATCTTTTCTAGCCTCCAGGGCCCTGCTTGGCTTTCTGTCTAATCCGAGGGTCACAGAGCGCCACTAGAACCGTCAGGGCTGCCAAGGAGCAAAGCAAATGCATCAATCATCATGTGTTCTTTAGGGATGGGATGGGAGGAAAAGTAAGGGGAAAAATGCTTGTTTCAGGTAATTCAGTCCCTGCCAACTGTTTGCAGTTACATTTTATCCTCCTGACTTTGTTAGTGATTCTGTTCTGTCTGTCTAATACGGTTCGCCCTCCTGAAGTGGAATGTAGAGACTTCTTTCGAGTAGAACACTTCTCATGTATCCCAGAACAGTGGTACTCCACTGTTCACAAGTTTGGGGCACTCCACAGGACCCCGCATGGCTAAAGTATAATTTTATTTTATTTATTTATTTTTAAAGTATAATTTAAAAAGGTTGAAGAATATAACTCTCCTACAAATACAGGTGAGCCTATGCCAAATATTTACTTTACTCATTAATGAGGGAACTAGCAGAATGGTAAAATGGGTTCAAAGAGCATTTGAGAAACTGAGTATCGATAGGTACTGAAGAAAGAAAGTTGGAATAAGATTGCTAGGTTACAGAGAAAAATGCTTCATACCCTTTAGAACAGTAAAACAGTAACCTTTGGGATTATCTTTTCTAGTGGACAAAAATTACTTGTATCTCTACTAGATAAAAATCTACAAATATGTATCTTCATAAAATCTGAACCTCATCAGTAATAAATAGCAAACCAAAGAAACATCCTTCTAGATAATAGAATATACCTTGAATGGGCCTTGTAGACAGACAGTGTTCCAGAATGACATTGAAAGAAGGTGAAATCCTCATTTTGCCTTATCATCAAGTTTTGGGTAATTTTCTTAACACAGCGATTGCATTTAGTCTAATGCCCAGTCCCCTCCCTAACACACTGAAATCTTGACAGATAGAAATCAGGGAATTCCTCGGTGGTCCAGTGATTAGGACTCGGGATCCTCACTGCCAGGGCGCTGGATTCACTCCCTGGTTGGGGAACTAAAATTCCATAAGCCCCATGGCACAGCTGAAAAGAGAGAGAGACGTCTTAGACACTAAAGCCCAGAAGAGAGCCATCTGGTTAAATGTTGAGGTCCTTTGGATATAATACTATAATAATAGCAATTAGCAATGTTCAGGTGCTTTTTGGTAGACGTTAGTGCTTTGTATTCATGATCTCATTTCATATTCCCAACAATCTCTCCATTTTACAGGTGGTGAGTCTGAGACACAGAAAGGTTAAATGACTTGTCCAAGATCACACATAACTAAGTGGCAGAATCAGGATTTGAATAAACGCAGTTTGGCTTAAGTTGACCTCCAATCAGGGGGCCAGTAGAAGAGTGAGGAGTGGGATGTTAGAAAAGAGAAATAGATTTTCATGGGGGAAATGGTGTTTGTCCAAAGGAAGATAAGTAATTTCAGGGATTACTTTTAGTCTTCAAGGAATTCTTGCTAGAGCTCTGCCCTTGCACGCTGCTGAATGGACATCACCAAGCTTCTTTTCCCCCAGAAGGACAGGGGTCTCTTTCTAACTAGTATCTAAGTCTTATTTGGGGGAGAAGAGAGAAATGTGTTGATAGTGTAGGGACTGCAGTTACCTTATTTCTCGTAGATGCCTTTGGGGAATAGGTTTATATGAGAATTGTGACATTTTAAATTCATTTGTTCTTATTGCTAAGGATTGAGCAAGGACCGTTTCTCCTCGTGGGAGTGAAGGCAGGGCGTGGATTCCCTTAGACGCCGCAGTCTCTGTCCTCGTCTAAACCCCTGCCCCCAAATGATCACTTTGCACTTTCTTCTCCCTTAGATACGGCAAGATTGTCTCCACTAAGGCCATCCTGGACAAGACCACAAACAAGTGCAAAGGTGAGTACAGCTCCTGCCGCTGGCGGGGCCCTCCTTCGCCTCCACCCCTCACTGCTTCAGGCCCCTGGTTTCCAGGACCAGCGTGGCATCTCTCAGGGGTTCAGGCTTGAAAGTCAGGTAGGTATTTAGATTCTTTGGTGACCAGAGAGCTTCAGCTAAAAATGCTCTTTGGGGGACCCAAGGCTAGAAGCCTGCAGAGTGCCTTTAAGTCCTGTTCCCCTGGACCGGATGGTAGGTATGGGTATGTGAGACCATTTCTATGTAGCAGTGTACATGTCTTTTATTGGTGTAGATGGGGCAACTTAGTTTTGTTGGGGTTTTGAGCAATTCTAGGTGGAGAGGGAAAGAGGGAAGGGGCTGGATGCTGGGGTGAGGGGCCTCTTCCAGCAGGTGGCTGGCTGTCTGCAGTGGAGAGGCTGTATTTCCTACATGCCTAGCGTTTTCGGGAGGTGGCTAGAAAAGAGGAGGGAGTTCTTTTGGAAATAGAGGGGGCCATGAGTTACTAGAGGAGCCTAGCTCTTGAACCTTGGACTTTCTTAGGGGAGAGGGAGGAAGGCAAGGATTCCCCAAAGACCTTGTGGCCCTTGGCATTCTTAGCTGCAAAGTAGGCCAACTCTCACAGGGTTTGGGGAGCCCAGGGATAACCACCTGCCACCTCTTAATCTCTCTTCCTCCCTGCCACTTCTGTTTCGTGGGTCGTGACTCTTCCTCTGTTCCCTGAGAAGCCGGGGCCTCCTCCCTCCCTTACACCTCCTCCCTCCCAGTGATGCTGTTTCCCCCTTCCAGGCTACGGCTTTGTGGACTTTGACAGCCCTTCAGCCGCGCAGAGAGCGGTAACCGCGCTGAAGGCCAGTGGTGTGCAAGCGCAGATGGCAAAGGTGAGGGTCCTGCCCCCGTCTGCCCCTCTGAGAGGTGGTAGTTAGCCTCCAAGGTGTCCAGAGGGTTTAAGAGCCGTGTGCTTGAAGGGCAAGGGCTTTCTGCAGTGCGTTTTGACTATATGCAGTCTCAACCGGGGCCCCGCCGAGTTCAGAGCCCGCGGCAGGTGGCTCTGTCAGCTCTCTCCTCTCATCGGGTGTTCTAAGCAGGCGGGAGGGCCCGGAGCTTCTTCCCTTCCTCCAGCTGTTTCCCTCTCTACCCGGGCCCCACTTCCCCACCAAACAGCTTGCGGTGGTTTTGCAACCTTCTCTGAAGAAGCCAGTTGTGCAACTCCAAAGTTCGGAACAACGCTTTCCACCTCCCAGCCTGTTCCCCGAGGAAGGGGCGGGTGGCGTGGAGGGCGTGGAGGGCCAGATGCCGCAGAGAGAAAGGGAACTGTCCCTTCCTTTCTCCCATCTGTCTGCAAGTTTTTTATTTTCATTTGGGCCACTAGAAAGCCAGAGACTTTTCCTTTCCCAAGTCATTGTGAGTCCCTGAGAGGGGCCGGCCCTTTCTGTAACGGGGGAAGAAGAAGGAGCCCAGAAAGCAGAGGGAGTCAGGTTGCCGGCGGCCGACTGTCAGGGCAGAGCGGCCGCTTGAACTGCGCAGCCCGGCGCTGGGGAGTTGCCGTTTTCCAGTCTGCCCCCGGAGGTGCTCTCGCAGCTCTTCTTTCTGGGGAAAACCCCTCTGACCGGGGAGCGGCTTCAGCCTCCGGCGAGACTGGGGCTTCCGGGGCTCCGTGCTGACCCGCGCCCCGTGAGCTGGCCGCGAGCTGGCTCTCGCTGCAGCCCCAGCTCTGCCCTTCTCTCTCCTGTCCGCTTCCAGCGCTCCCTCCGCCAGGGACTGCAGACATTCCTACTCCTGGGAGTCTGCTGTGGCCGGAAGAGGGGGAGGGAGATTACTCCAAACAATCCAGCCCTGGAAGCGCAGGCAGTCCCGGAGAATCCAGCCCCTGGGGCAGGCTGCTGGGTGGAGAGGGGAGTGCTGCCGGCCTGGCTCTTAAAGCGACAGCCCGGAGCTCCGTCCGTGGCTTGTCTCGCGGCTCGCGCAGCGCTGGAAATGGTCGGCCTGTGGGGTTTTCGGCCTGGACTCAGCACATAACGCATGCCCCGTGGTAGTGGGACGAGGTGTTCCGGATGGTTGCTGAGATTCTCTGGTCGGTCATCCCTTCCTCCTCTCTCTTTTCTGAAATGTCACTTTGTGAAAAACGGCTGAGGGTGGGAGAGGGTTAAGAGATACGAAATCCATTTTTTCACCTCTATTTCCATAGCAACAGGAGCAGGACCCCACAAACTTATACATCTCAAACCTCCCGCTGTCGGTGGATGAGCAGGAGCTGGAGGGGATGCTGCAGCCCTTCGGCCAGGTCGTCTCCACTCGGATCCTGCGCGACACCAGCGGGGCCAGCAGAGGGGTCGGCTTTGCCAGGTGAGAGAGGTCAAGAATGGCAAGTGATGACGTTAGTAAAGGATGTCACATAGAAGGTCATCAAAAACTCTGTGTCCTGCTCCCCCCAGGACAACACTGGCCAAAAGTTCTTGACAGTAAATCAAAAGTTCATTTAATTACAGGTCACAGGACTCAAAAAAACTATTTGCTCTCAACTCTTTATGCTTTCGCCAGTATTTCCTGTTACTCTAGCCTTTGTTCCTTTGATCTAGAGCTAAGCAGAATAGAGGATTATAATTCTGTATCCTGTTTTAGTTTCCTGAGTATTCCTCGTCCTATTATCTCATTTGGGCTTCCCTGGTGACTCAGAAGGTAAAGAATCTGCCTGCGGTGCAGGAGACCCAGGTTCGATCCCTGGGTTCGACACCCTGGAGAAGGGAATGGCAACCCATTCCAGTATTCTTGCTTGGAGAGTCCCGTGGACAGAAGAGCCTGCAGGCTACAGTTTATGGAGTTGCAAAGAGTCAGACACGACTGAGCAAACCTCTGTCTGTCTACCTCATTTACTCTATGAAATAAGTATTTTTTTATTAAAAAAATAAACTTTATTGATAGTAAATGCAGTGAAATTCAATTTAACTATACAATTTGAGTTTTTACTTATGTACGTAGTTTTTTAATTTTTAAAAAATTGGAGTATAGTTCCTTATAATATTGTTGAAATAAAATATTAATTCTCTATTTTATGGAAAAGAAAACCAAAGTTCTCAATATGAAGTGATTTGCCCAAGGTCTCAGGAGTGGGTGGTAGAGTGGAGCCCTTACCCTCCTGACTTCAAAATAGGTAGGATCAAATGGAAGATTTGGTCTACCTTTTCAGATCTGTTGAGAGCCTTAAATTCTCCATCCAGCTCTACCACTAACTGCCCCTGCGGTATCAGACCTTTATGAGCCTTGGTTACCCTGTGAAGTAGAGGTTTAGATGAGTGATTTTCTTTTTTTTAGAAAAATTATTTATTTTAATTGGAGGAAGGTTACAGTATAGTGATGGTTTCTGCCTTGCATCAGCACGACTCAGCTATGGGTGTACACGCGTCCCGCCCCTGGACCCCCCTCCCTCCTCTATCCCCGCCCTCCATCCCCGGCCTCCCCCCAGGCAGTCCCAGGGCGCCGGCTGTTGGGTGCCCTGCTGCGTGCATCTGACCAGCCCTGGCCGCCCAGCGTTTGTAGGCAACGCGTGTATTTCAGTGCTGGTCTGAAACCAGCCCCGCTCCCGCCGGGGGCAGCCGGGTCTGCAGGCGGGCTCACCGGCGCCGGCGCTCCGAGCTGCCTGCTGGAGCCGTCAGTTCTCCAGGCGCCTTCTGTGGGGCCAGAGACACCGCTGCCAGGGCCCCGGCTTTGCCTAGCCCACTTAGGAAACGGTTTTTATTTATTTTAAGGTTTTGCTTGAAAGGAGATTCTGATGCCCTTCTAAAAAGTCTGAAAAGACCTGGACTACGTGATCTGAAAGGCCATTTTCCTTATAATATCTTGTCTGGTCCAAGGACACTACTTTCCTCGGCGGCCTTCAGACCTTGGGGACGTGGAGCAAGACCTCTTCCCTGGCCTGCTCAGTCCCGATGGCGCCACCTGCTGGTGACCATGTGTCACTAAAGGGGAGTTGCTGAGGCTTGTGATCTGCTCAGTCCCCATGGCGCCACCTGCTGGTGACTCCATGTGTCACTAAAGGGGAGTTGCTGAGGCTTGTGATCTGCTCAGTCCCCATGGCGCCACCTGCTGGCCACCATGTGTCACTAAAGGGGAGTTGCTGAGGCTTGTGATCAAACTCTTTTGCTCCCATACTCGCTTAAAGCAGAAGCTCCATTTCGTCGCCGTAATTTTTTTTGCCCTCAGTTCAGTTCAGTCGCTCAGTCATGTCCGACTCTTTGCGACCCCGTGAACCGCAGCACGCCAGGCCTCCCTGTCCATCACCAACTCCTGGAGTCCACCCAAACCCATGTCCATCAAGTCGGTGATTCCATCCAACCATCTCATTCTCTGTCGTCCCCTTCTCCAAAAGAAATACTTAACAGTTTATCAAGTAATTAAATGGTCTAAACAGTCAAGAAATGTTTAATATTTTAACAGCTTTGTAGTTATTTGAAAAATACATTGAAAGAGAAAATATTTTTGTCTCATTCTTTAAATAACTATACTTTCAGTGGATGTGGGCCTGTTGGACACTGCACAGTTCTCAAACCTTGGAATCACACTGAACAAGGACACCCTCATTTCCTGTTACACATTGGTTTTCTTATGGTACTTGCTTTTGTCATAGCAACTACTGAAAAACCAGATTGTGGAAATATTGAACTGTTTAGAGTTAGTAGTCTTTACGATAAATAGCCAATAAGTGTTGTTGTATTTTCTTCAGAAAGTTGAACTATCCCTTGCTATGCCTCTGTGAGCTCATCACAATGACCCAGGGTGCCTCAAAGCCCAGTTTAGGAACTATGGCTTTGAAGTCTTGAAAAGCCATGAAATCTCTTGTATATTTCTACATTAATAACTTCAAATTTTCTTCATACATTTAGATTCTTGCAAAGGATAATTTGCAGCAAATTATAAATATTATGTTAATATTTACATAGTGTTAGTAATAATTTAGACTATGTTAGTCTAAGTAAAACTGTCATACTATTTTAAAATATATCCAAATGAAATCTAAATGTAGCAATTTAATACACAAAATCATTTCAAAAATACATGGGGCATTTCTTTAAGTCACAACTCTTAAATAATTGTTATAGTATTCCTTTCTCTCTTCTTGATCTTGTATTGCCATCTTATTTCCCTACAGAATTGTATTTTAGTTTAAAATACTTTTATAGCTAAAAGTCTTTGTATGGATCATTCTGCTAGACTTCTCTGCAACAAAAATATAAATTTATTTTTTTCTTGTGGCTCTGAATCTTTATGCATTAATCCATAAGGAAATTATCTTTATAAATAGTGCACAGTTGCCCCAAACAACATAAATATATTAAAATGTTGATACAAAGTTGTTTTACATGAAATAAATTTTATTGGAAATGCTTCTTTTAACTTTTTATAATTAAATCATGTAGCCATCAATGACAATTGTTTATTGCTGTAACAAGACAGAATTTAATGTCCGTTCTATTTGTATTTTGTTTTCATGGTAAGGAACCCTGTTCACATAAATAAATGGGAATGGAAAGAGTTTTGCTAAAATAGGAGTTCTTTGAGTTCCTTCTGAATTATATGCCAAGAGCCAGGGTGATCTGTCATCAGAATTGACTTTTTTTAATGTGTCAGTGGACAACTTGTTGAGTCCTTTAGCTTTGTGGGAAGGAAGAATTGGAAACAGGTAACTTAAGAAACACTTTGTAGCTCAGGCCTCAGTGCTTCCTGTTCAGCTCTGGGATGAGTTGGAAGTAAGCAGAGCGGAGTCGTTGTGAAAGGGGCCCTCAGCCTCGATCATTAGTGACCATGAACTCCCGCAGACTCGATCATTAGTGACCATGAACTCCCGCAGACTCGATCATTAGTGACCATGAACTCCCGCAGACACATCTGTTCTAGGAAAGAGTTTATGAGGAAGTTGAATTCCTGAAAGTGATTCTTTTAAAACCCTACATGCCTGTCACCCTTTTGAAAGACTCAAAAGTAGGAGTAACCCAACTAAACATTGTTTGCTCTAGAATGCTCAGCATGCTTTTCACTAGGAGGTTCAATTTAAGGTCTTTTTCTAGTAACTGCCAATATGGAGCTTGTTCAGATCTTTAATGGTTATTGGCATAGAAAATATGCTGACTTACTTTAAATGTGGGAAAGGGGGAAAATACTGTCCATGTCTTACGTAGATCTTCATATAATTTTTAGAACACATTTATACACATTATCTCATTTGAGCCCTGTATAGTAAGGTAGACGGAGATTTGAAGCAGAAATGAGGAATGAGTCCGGAGGACTTCGGTGCATGTTCTAACTCACAGAGCCTGTGAGGGGTGACCAGGCACCACTAATTCCTTACTCATTTTGTCTTTCACCAACAAGACACTTTAGCTGCGTAGCTTCTAAGATTGTTCTATCACCTTAAACCCTGTCTTAATACTCTTTGTTCCTACAAACTCATGAAATCTTTTTTCCCCGTTTAAAAAATAATTGAAGTGTAGTTGGATTACAGTGTGGCGTTAGTTTCAGGCGTACAGAAACGTGGTTTATATATTTTTCATATTTATGTGTGCACATGCACACGTCTGTCTTTTTCATACTCCTTTCCATTTGTCTTATTACAGGATACTGAACATTGTTTCCTGTGTTCCACAGTAGGACACTGTTTATCTGTTTTACATATGGTCATTTGTGTCTGCTCACCTCACACTCCTAATAAGCCTCCCTCCCCCAACTCATGAAATCTTAAGGAGGTTATCGGTAGCTAATTAGACCTTTATAATTATAACCAGAGCAAAAAAATAGATATTGGCAAACTCTTAGCTTGTATAGCTTTCTCGGAGTGAAGGAGCAGGGAAGTTCCCTGCTGGTGCAGCCGTTCAGACTCAGCCCTTGCACTGTTGTGACTTGGGTCTGATCCCTGGTCAGGAAAGTAAGATTACGCAAACAGAGCCAAAAAATCCTAGGAAAGTTTCCATTAGGAATTTTGTAATAAAAAATAATGGTAACAGCCACTGTTTATTGTGTTCTTATTCGGGAACCCAGACACAAACTGAGTACAAGGCCCTCCCACCAGTGTCTGTGGCATAGTCATGGCGTGCAGACCCCCTGTATCCCTTTCAGGACCCCTCGAGGAACCAGTCGAGAGCACCGTCGTCAGAAGCTGGGCTTGCTTCTCTAAGACGCCCTTGAGTTTGTGTGGAGGAAGCCCCGTGTCTGTAGTGACAATTTCTGGAGCGTTTGTGGGGCTGGGAACGCAAGAGCTTCCTCTTTAAATGTAGGGAGGGTTTAGATCCTGGAGAAGCTAGACCCTAATTCCTCTTGTGCTCCTTAGGATGGAGTCCACAGAGAAGTGTGAAGCCATCATCACCCACTTTAATGGAAAATATATTAAGACACCCCCTGGAGTACCAGGTGAGGCATCTGGGAATCAGGCTGAGAGGCCACAGGTTATGACTTCTGTGAAGATTCTGGAGGCTTTTTGCATGAGTGAATGGGCTAAGTGAGGTGGGACTCAGCTGCCTGTCTGCTTTCTCTCTCGGCAGCCCCATCTGATCCCTTGCTTTGCAAATTTGCTGATGGGGGTCCAAAGAAACGACAGAACCAAGGAAAATTTGTGCAGAACGGACGGGCCTGGCCAAGAAATGGAGACATGGTAAGAGGCCCTCTCGGAACCAGACCACTGGTGACGTCAGAGGGGAGTGGGCGGGGCTCTTCTGCTCCCACTGCAGGGAAGGCGGGTTCGATCCCTGGCTGGGGAGCTAAGATCCTGCGTGCAGGAGTGGGAATTTCCATGGCTTGATTCCTGGGGTAGGCTTGAGAGCTCCAGTATGTAAGGGAGCAATGCTGGCTGCTTCGCACACTCTTCAGTGTGAATGGGATTGTGCCCCCTGCACAAGCAGGCACAGCCCGGAGCGGTTACTGTGGAGGCCAGTCCAGACCTGGCTGTGGACCAAACGCGTCCCCAGCCGTGAGCCTCTGGCCGGCTCCTGTTTTCACCTACGCGCTCACGGCGTGCGCGCTGTGTTCTTTCTCTCTAGGGTGGCATGGCTTTGACCTATGACCCCACCACGGCTCTTCAGAATGGGTAAGGGTGTCGTCTGTAAACGGCCCGCCTGAAAACGACACCACCGAGCGTCCAGGCCCTCGCGTGGTTTACCTCGATGTTCGTGGCTGTATCTGCCGCGGGGGGGGCCCTGGCCTTGCAGTCCGCCCTGCCTCCTTACTGAGTGGTCCCCTCCTGCAGGTTTTACCCCGCTCCTTACAACATCACCCCCGGCAGGATGCTGGCTCAGTCTGCACTGTCCCCGTATCTCCCGTCTCCTGTGACGTCGTATCAGGTACGTTCATGCCCGGAAGAGGGCTCGGGGTTTGCCCTGCCATCGTGTTTTAGGCTGGACACAAATCGCTGTTTTTTCCGTTGTTTCCTTTGCACAGATTATATGCAGACAGTTTCACGTAAAAGCGTAGCACGCGATCACCTCGCACTCGTCCAGGCTGTTGTGGAAGCGCCCTTTATACCCTGTCCATGTCCCCACAGCAAACCCATGTTAGCTTCCTGCTGCTTTCACCTTTTTTTGGTCATTTTCATATACATGTAAATATATGGTTTTGGAAGTCATTGTTTATGTTAGGAAAATTTGCCATATTAAATGTCGTTTTTACACTTTTCCCACATACACCAGTGACTCTCCAGGCGTGGTCCCTGGACCTGCAGTATCAGTGCTATCTGGGGGTTTTTAGTAACAAATTCTTGGAGTCTACCCTAGATCCAGAGGAACTCTGGGGGATGAGTCCTCCCAGCCTGAGATTTAACAAGCACTCCAGGTGGTTCTGTGCAGCTCTGTTCTAATTATTTCTTCTTTAATAGTCACATTATAGTTCATGCTGCGTAAACACCAGAATTCTTTCACTAGACCCCCGTGAAGGGCATTCTTGGATTTCAGTTTTTTCTGGTGCGAACGATGCTCTGGTGAACATGCCTTTGCCTGCGTCCTCACAGATGAGTGCTTTTGTTTCTGGGGGCTAGAGTCCAAGGGGTGAGGTTGTAAGGTGGAATGATACACAGACTTTTGGTTTTATAGATGTTACAGATTTCTCTCCACAAAGGCTGTGCCAATTCCTATTTCCACTGGCCACAGATGAGAGTGCCCATTTCCCTCCAGCCAGAAGGGGCATTGCTCTTGCAAAGCTTTTCCTATCTTGGAAGGTGTAAAGTACGATCTTGCTCTAATTTGCACTTCCCTGACTGAAGCTGAGTTTAAGCATTTTTTGGTCATATTTTGATTTGTTCTTCCCGGATTACTCTTCATACACTTGGCCCATTTTCCTGTTTAATAGTTCTTTTCCCATCAGCTTATAAAAACCATCAGTGTTATTGGGACATCTCTATTGGTCCAGTGGCTAAGACTTCGTGCTTCCAGGGCCGGGGGCCAGGGTTCTGTCCCTGGGTGGGAACAAGATCCCACTGGTCACAAGTAAAGTTCCTGCATGCTGCAGCATGCCACAAATAAGGCCTGGCACCGCCAAGTGAAAAACAAAACCAAACCTCCACAGTGCGTGCTCATCCCGTGGGACATTCTGCAGGCTGGAGGGACTTATTTCTAAGTTACCCACATACGCTTGTCAGACTGTCTCCTGGCTTGCTTCTGGGCAAGGAAGCAGGCTCAGCTATGGTTGTTTATCACATACTTAAAAAAAAAAGTCAATATTATTGGAATTTCCCTGGTGTTCCCGTGGTTAAGACTCTGAGTTCCCAATGCAGGGGGCACAGTTTCAGTCCCTGGTCAGGGAACTAAGATCCTGCATACCTGGCCAAAAAAAAAAAACCACACCAGATATTATAAGTGCTAATCTTCTGAATGTTATCTTTGTTACAAGTTTTTTTCCAATTTTGTTTTTCCAGTAACTTTGTGGTCCTCAAACTTCAGCTGTGCATGAGTCAGTTGGGGAGCTTATTCAGTTCAGTTCAGTCGCTCAGTCGTGTCCGACTCTTTGTGACCGCATGGACTGCAGCACGCCAGGCTTCCCTGTCCATCACCAACTCCCGGAGCTTGCTCAAACTCACGTCCGTCGAGTCGTTGATGTCATTAAACCTAAGTCAGAGAGCTTATTAAACGTACTGGGCACCACGCTGAGAATTTCTGGTTCAGCAAGTCTAGGGTGAGAGGCGAGAGTTTGTATTTCTAACAGGTTCCCAGGTATTGCTCTTGCTGCTGGTCCAGAGAGCATACTTTGGGAATCACTAGTTTTTGCTATATACAAAAGTTTAACATTTGTATATAGTTAAATATGTCTGCTTTTTATTTTTATTTTTTTACTTTCGAATTTTTTAATTCAAAAGGTCTTCCCAGTCTGTATATTGTTCATGTGGTCCCCAAGATTTATTTCATTGTTTTACATTTAAATGTATAGTTACCAGGAATTTATGTTTGTATATGACATAAGATAGGATCCTGTTGTATTCCCTTCAGAGTATTCACCAGTTGTGAATTCACCAGTAGCACCAAATCATTAAATAACCCGTCCTTTACCTGGGTTTCCCTGGCGGCTCAGCCGGTGAAACTCTGCCTGGAATGCCAGAGACCTGGGCTTGATCCCTGGCTTGGGAAGATGCCCTGGAGGACGGCATGGCAACCCACTCCAGTGTTCTTTCCTGAAGAACCCCATGGACAGAGGAGCCTGGCGGGCTACAGTCTATGGGGTTGAAAAGTCAGACTGACTGAGCGACAAAGCACATCCTTCTCCCACTGAATAGAGATGCCACCTTTGTCATATAATAAACACTGGAATTTTTTTCTGCATCCTTCATCCTTTTCCAGTGATCATTGTATCTGTTCCTATTTCAATAATATGTTAATTTGATTACAGTGGCTTTCATAGTATGTTCTAACATTTATTTAATAAGATAAAACCTCCACTCTCTTTCAGACTTTGCTTTTTTGGGCATCTGTTATTCTGTGTAAGTTTATGATCATTTTATCTAATTTATAAAAATCTGTGAGGGAGGGCTTTAATTGAAATTACATTATACCTATGTATTTGTTTAAGAGCACTGACTGCTTAAAACGCACAGTCTTTTCACCTGGGATGTATTTCTTTTCATATTCTCAAATCTTTGTTATGTTCTTCAGTAGGATTTTAATTTTGTTTATGTAGGTCTATACATTTTATCCAGAGAAGGCACTGGCACCCCACTCCAGTCCTCTTGCCTGGAGAATCCCATGGACGGAGGCGCCTGGTGGGCTGCAGTCCATGGGGTCGCTAAGAGTCGGACACGACTGAGCGACTTCACTTCCACTTTTCACTTTCATGCATTGGAAAAGGAAATGGCAACCCACTGCAGTGTTCTTGCCTGGAGAATCCCAGGGATGGGGGAGCCTGGTGGGCTGCCGTCTATGGGGTCACACAGAGTCGGACACGACTGAAGCGACTTAGCAGCAGCAGCATACATTCTATCATCATCTTTAGGTGCTTATTGATGCGCCGAGGAGAGGGGTTTGATTTATGTTCGTCTGTTTTGTATACAGCTCACTTGGCAAATCCTCTCATTACTATTAGTAACTTTTTAACTCTCAGGTTTTCTAGGTATGCAGTTATATCACTGATGCAAAATAATAGTTCTCTTCTCCATTTCGATTTTATGCCAGTTGTATCCCAGTTGTATCTCTTTGACTCCGCTACCTAATAGGTCACCATAATTGCAGTGTTTTCAATGTGTATTAATGCTTGCAGCTAAGTTTTTGGTAATAGCCTTTAATATATGTGAGTAGTTTCTTTTCAGTCTCTGTTTTACTTTGTGATATTTTTTAAAATTTGTTTTTTGGTTGTAACTCTCGGCCCTCAGAACCTTAGTTCCCCAACCGGGGATTGAACCCAGGTCATGGCAGGGAAAGCTCTCAGTCATAGCCACTGGACCTCCAGGGAATTCCCTACTTCATGATTTTTTTTTTAAGTAAATGGCTGTTGGATTTTATAAAATGTCTTTTCAGCATCTACTATTACACTGACTTTTCCTTCAATTTTGACTTATGTTTGTAGAGTTTCTGATTTTGAACAATCCCTACATTTGTGGAATAGACCTACTTGTTTATCAAGATGCATTTCTAGCTTCTCATTGCTTTTTTTCTTTTAAAGTTGAGATATAAATTACAGACTATAAAAGTTTGCTTTCTTAGAGTATACTAGTCAGTAGTGTATATTTATAGAATTATGCAGCCATCATGATTATCTAATTCCAGGATGTTTTCACTGCCTCAGAAAGAAACTCTGTGCCCATCAGTCATTCCCCATTCTTCCTTCACCCTAGCCCCTGGCAGCCACTCATGCACTTTCTGTGTCTATAGGTTTGCCTATTCTGGGCGTCCTGTAAAAGTGGAAGCATGTAGTAAATGTCTTTTGGGTTTGGGCTCTTTCACTGAGCATATTTTCAAAGTTTATTCACGTGTAGCGTGTGTCAGCGCTTCATTCCTTTTACAACTGAATCATGTTCCGCTGTATGGACATGCCCCATTTTGTTGTCTGTTTATGTTGATGGTCGTTTGAGTTGTTTCTACTTTTTGGCTCTTATGAATAATAATATTCATAGTATTATTAGGTGATACTGCTATGAACTTTTGTGCACGATTTTCGTGTGGACGTATGTTTTAATTTCTCTAGGGTATATACCTAGGAGTGAAATTGCTCAGTACCTATTAGCTCTACGTTTAACTTTTTGAGGAACTGCCAGACTGTTTTCCAAGGTCACTGTACCATTTTACGTCCCCACCTGCAGTGTATAACGTTTGTTATTCAGTCCTTTTAAAACTGTAGCCATCTCAGTGGGTGTGAAATCGTATCTCACTGTGACTTTGGTTTATATCTCCCGAGTGACTAGGGGCTTCCCTGGTGGATCAGCGGTAAAGAATCTGCCTACAATGCAGGAGATGCGGGTTTGATTCCTGAGTCGGGAAGATCCCTTGGAGGAGGGAATGGCAACCCACTCTGGTATTCTTGCCTGGAGAATCCCAGGGACAGAGGAGCCTGGCGGGCTACAGTCCGCGGGGTCGCAAAGAGCTGGACACAGCTGAGTGACGAAGCGCGGTGCGGCAGTGACATGATGTTGAGCCTTTGACTGTGCTTGTTGGCCGTTTGTGTATCTTAGAGAAATATCTAGTCAGATTCTTAGCCCATTTTAAAATTGGGTTACTTGAACTGAAAGAGTTGTTAATATTTTTAAAATATCCTTAAATATTTCTATTTTCTAAGGGGGCACTGAGGGTGAAATTGTTAGTCGCTCAGTCGTGTCTGACTCTTTGCGGCCCCATGGACTGTAGCCTGCCAGGCTCCTCTGTCCATAGAATTCTCTCCGCAAGAACACTGGAGTGGGTTGCCTTTCCTTTCTCCAGGGGATTTTTCGCACCCAGGGATCGAACCCAGGTCTCCTGCGTTGCAGGCAGATTCTTTACCATCTGAGCCACCAGGGAAGCCCCACGCTCCAAACTTGGTTGTGTTTTGCTGAAAATTCTCAGATCATTGGGTGAAATAATAGTCTCCAGGAAGTTAACATTTTTGTTTATTTTTGCTTGCATTAGAGAGTGACTCAGACATCTCCTCTACAAGCACCTAACCCGTCTTGGATGCACCACCCGTCATACCTCATGCAGCCCTCAGTGAGTGTTCAGAAGTGGGCAAAAGCCAAAGCGGCAATTTGATGTGAAAGAAAACAGTGGGGTTTGATGCAAGGAGGTGTGGGTGTGAGTCCTGGCTCAGTCTCCTGTGTAACCAGGTGTCTGATCTGAAATTCTGTGAGTCCCGTTCTTAGAGCAGGATGCCTCCAGACCGGCGGGCAGAGTGCATGCTCCTGCAGGGCCGGGTGGTTGCTTGCCTGTCATTTTCCGGGATTTGCAAATGTCTGTCATCAGCGGTTCTGGTCTCTGAACCACTGCTTCCTGCAGCCTCACAGGATGCTGCCAACTGACTGCCCTTTGCTGCTGCTTCTAGGGTTCAGTTCTGACACCAGGAGGGGACCATCCCATTTCTCTGCAGCCTGCCTCCATGGTGGGACCTCTGACCCAGCAGCTGGGCCACCTCTCTCTCAGCAGCACCGGCACGGTAAGGCAGGATATTCCCCTTACGAACTCCTGCCACATAAGGGGCGCCTGTGCGAGGCTCTTAGGCTTAAGCACTCTGGGCTGAGGATGGGGACCACTTCACTGTCATCGAGGACACACTCCGAAAAGGAGGTGGACTGAAAAAGGGTCAGTCTGTGAGCAAGGAATGTAGCCTGCTACTCTGAAACTCATTTGTTCTAACTGATTCCTACTCATGTAACTAAAGGATCAGTGCTTCTGTCTACGTATTATCTAGGAGGGGTTCACACACATTTCCTGAAAGCCTTATCAGAACAGTAATAGAAAGAATGGGCCAAGCCTGTTAGGTTTCTCGAAGCTCGGGCGCATTTTGGTGTGTGGAGGAGTGCTTAAGGCAGAGAGGGCCGTGCGCCGAGAAGGCAGAAGACGGGGAGGAGGAGGAGAGGGGTGTAGGTAGAAGTCTGTCCCGGCCAGCGTGCTGCAGAGTCACCGAGCGCTTTAAAGAGCACAGCTGGGTAGCCTCTCTGCAGAGGGAACACAGGCGCTTCTAGCTCCCCAGGTGTTCTCATGGTGGCCCAGGACCACCGCGCCGAGCCTGTCGATGCGTCTCGTTCCAGTACGTGCCGGCCGCTGCCGCTCTGCAGGGGGCTTACATCTCCCACTACACGCCGGTGCCCGCTTCCAGCGTTTCAGCTGAGGTAAGAACGGCATTGTCTCCTGGGGTTGAAGACTGGAAGGTGATCAGAGGCAGGTTTTCCACTGGTCACAGTCTTCCTCTGGCAGTGCCGCCGACTCTGTGTTCGCACCTAGCTGGTGGGTGTGTGAAGAATGCGGGAGGAGAGACTTAGCCAGTGCCTGCGGTCGAGGCCCTTCCTCTCGTTTAGCCGGGCAGCAGTTCATCCCAGGGTGCTGGCTTGCGCTGACCGTGTGCCCTGGGATGAGGACAGGCTGCTCTGAAGTTGGGGACGTGGCGCTGTGAGAGTGCGTGCGCGCGCGTGCACTCGGGCAGGTGTGTGGCGGGCGCTCGGCTTGGGGCGGGGAGGGAGCGCGCGGTGACCCACGCCTCGCCCTGGTGCAGGAGAGCGGCAGCCAGCAGAACCCGGCGCCGGTGGACGCGCCCGCGGAGCACGGCGTCTACCCCTTCCCGTTCAGCAAGTGACGGCGGTAAGAGGCGCACGGGCCGCCAGCCGCCGAGGTGGACTGTTCTCACGCTGTCACTGCCCCTCCCGCCCTCTCTGGCTTACGCCTCTTTTAGGGTCTCTCCCCGCCTTTGTGGAATATAAAAGAATTCTGGGAGGTGCTGATGCTCCAGACTCCAGAGGGCTGACCGGGAATACGGCGCTCCGGGGGCCCAGCTGAGGACGGACACGGCGGGCGGTTTGCTCGGGCCTGGGCCCGGGAAGAGAAAGCCCTGCTGCCCCGCCCTCCGCTCTTCCGTCCGCCGGTGGAGCCTGGGGAGGGGGCGGCCCCTGTTGTGTGCGCTGCAGCCGAGGACGTCAAGAACCTTTTTTCCTTTGTGAAGAAAGTTTGCTGTTTCGCTTTTAACTGCAATATACTCTTATCCTACGCCAAAGAGACTGGTGCCTGGGACTTCTCATCTTTGTGAAAAACTATTTTTGATGTGTTGGACTTACTTGGGAAGGCTTTTCTTTTTATATAAAACAATTTATTTCTTAAAAAAAAAGATGTGGTGCTAGCACATTGATGGGGTCCTGCGTGGGCCCTTCTTTCTGAATTTAGCAATGGACCTTTTTTGTGGGGAGGTGTGTGAAAGAATACACAGACTTTGAATGTTTTGTTTTATAAAGCTCTTAGATCATGCATCCCATCTCCTTCACATACATTTTATGCTTTCTTTTTCTCATCCAGATTGTTCTTTTTCTCTTTTCCATACAGCAGAACCTGCTTGCTTTAACCTCTTTACAGCTTTTAATTTTGTGAATTTCTTTTTTGGAAGAGACTTCCTATGGAATTTGGAGGGGCGGGGCTAGGAACAGTAGAACCCTAGGTAGGCAGTGGAAGCGGCTTTTCCTGCCTCTGCCCTTCCGGAAGCAGAGCCTTGACCTCGGCTGACCAAGGAGACAGATCCACAGCCTTTGGAAGCCATCTTTGATCCACAGTGGGATGAAGACTAGGTTTTCCCTGGCAAGTTCCAGAGGAACAGACCTACTGACTTGTAATTCTTCTCACTGCTGAGGCCAGCACCACACCCTCTGAGAAGGCGTCTTCCCCAGCTACAGCGTTTCAGGAACACCTGCTTTTCTGCTTCCCTGAAGATCTTTTCTGCCCTGGGTCTCAGGGCCCCCGTCTTCCCTGTCGCATGTCGTTGCCATGCTCAGAGCCCTTGCATTGGTGACCTTGCTGAATCCACTTAGGTTCCTTCCCCACTGGGGACCATCAGCTGCTTCGCCTTTGGACCAGTGACTCTCGGAGAGGTGCTTTTGTCCCCTGGAGGCCGTTTTCACGGCCGTGTCTGGGCGTGAGGCTGTGCGCTGCCATCCACGGGGTGCTGCCGCCCATCCTGCAGCGCCCAGGGGAGACCTGGCTTCCTACCAGAGAATCTGCTGACTCAGGATGTCAGTAGTGCCCGGCAAGGAGACCTCGATGAAGGCGGTGTCGAGCCCGCCTGTGTACCAGAGGACTTGGTCAACTCCCAGCCCTGGACACAGTGCCTTTGGACCCCCAGGCAGCTAGTTGAGGCAGAGAACTGAGGTTCTTGAATTTTCCTCAGGCGCTGACCTTTGGCACCTCTGTGTATACAGCGAGGGCTGCCCCCAACACGGGCACACACACATTGAGGGGATGAGGTGGGGACTGGTCTCTGTGCGCTAGGCGGGGTGGGAAAGGACAGAGTCCTTTGTAACTGTCCAGAGCATTTGGGCCCCTTTCCCAGGGAATCAGGATGTCAAACATAGTTTTCCTTGTGGAAGGGCAGCAGGGAGCTAGGAGAGAAAAGAGCAATACATCCCATCTCCGTATTCCCGAGCTCAGGAGCCCTTCAGCAAGGCTCTGTTTTGCTCTTCAGCCCCATCCCCTTCCGCAAGACCTGACTGCGCGCCTGCAGGCGGGGCGGAGGAAGCCTTTGCCTTGCACCTCCTCTTCCCAGTCACTCCCTTCTGCGCGGAAAGGAGAGTGCCGCCCCCCTTCTCTTGCAGGCCAGGTGCGTTTCCCCCAGACAGACAGCCCGCCCGATGACGGAATGGAGGACGGGGAGAAGCTGTGATGTCAGTTGTGCAGAGCCTGGGCCCAGCTTTCCCTTCCCTTCACCCGTCCCAGGGTGGAGAGTTGCGATGCTCCCGTCCCAGGTGTCCCCTTGTGCATCCCGAGGGTGCGGCGTGGAGGTAGCGGACGGTAGGTAGGGATGGTGGGTGACAGGGGAAATAGCAAAGACAAAATGGCCACAGTTTTCTCACGGGTACGTCCCACCTCAGGAAGGGTTTATCTGATTTCAAACAGCCCCAAGTCCAGTAACCTTCCGGGAGGGTTTGCCTGGGCAGGCAGTTCTTGTTCCTGAGTCTCTAGGCCTTAGTCAGGAAAGTACAACATAGATCTCGTCAGGGGCCTTGAAGAAAAAGAAAAAAGTCTAGACTCCTGTTCATTTAATTAATAGTAGTTTGGGGGAACCTTGCTTTGCTAGGAGGTTTAGTGAAATGATTCCCTGGTGGCTCAGAGGTTAAAGCATCTGCCGGCAATGCGGGAGACCCAGGTTCGATCCCCGGGTCGAGAAGATCCCCTGGAGAAGGAAATGCCAACCCAGTACAGTACCCTTGCCTAGAAAATTCCATGGATGGAGGAACCTGGTAGGCTACAGTCCATGGGGTTGCAGAGTTGGACACAACTGAGCGACTTCATTAGAGAAATGAGGGCCTTTCCTGTGTAGAAGCTGTTGTTGACATTACTGCTGCCCCTTCCCTGCCTCTCAGAATTCTTGGTTCTACTTTCTCTATTTAAATGTTTAAATGGCTTTTACTTTGCATTGTTTTGCTTTAAAATTGTGAAGTTACCTTGTGGGCTTCCCTGGTGGCTCAGAGGTTAAAATTGTGAAGTTACCTTTTGTGCGTTTTCCTCGTGTGAACCTGCTCAATGGATTTTATTAATGAATGTTTCTGGTTGGGGCAGGTTTGGGCGTGGGACGTGATGGAGTGAGAGCCTGAAGTCATTTTTGTAGTGGTTGATGGTATCATGGAATTTCCTTTGGACCCTTTTGGGTTACACCCATGATGCTTTCCCCCTAATTGTTAGTTCATTTCTGACAGTTCATAACATGGGTGAGTGGAAAAAGGAGAGAAGGAATGAGGGCCAGTTTCTCTCTCTCGAAATGGCCCGCTGGGGGCAGCGGTGCTGCTGAGGAACTGTCGGGGGTCTTCAGGCTCGCAGCCTTGGGCTGGGCCCTTTAAACGATGCTGGTGTTTCCTGAATCCCGTCTTCATGGAGCCCAGGTCATACTCTGCCTGTACTTCACATCTCACCCCTGCTCCTCATGGTGCTCATGACATTCTTAAGATATTTTACTACTTTGCATTTCTCTCTTTTCAGTCAGATAGAACATACTAGAGTCACTTTCTCAGGTGATCTAGTCCTTTACTAGGCTTAGTGCCCGCCTGTCCCACCTCATGCCAGTATCATTACTGCGCTTCTCTCTCTGGGTACTCAGACCCGAGGCTCTTTGGAGGAGGGTGTGGGTTGAGGTTAGGGGAGATGTAGAGTATTTTTAACAAAGGATTGGAAGAGCTGCCCAGACTAGGAAGCCTAGTGGCTCTGAAGAGTAACTAAATACCCCTCGTCAGGAGTCATGGGGTGCTAGGGGGACATCACGTGCACCCTAACCTAGCGTGAGGACTAGACGTTGTTGCTCTTCTGAGCCTCCCTGGATCGGGCCACCTCAGCCCAGTTCCATCCTTCTCCTGACTTACCGACCAGTGGGCTCACTTAGCCCCTGGGAGCCTGCATGCGTATCCCCTGCTGCCTCAGTGTCTGCCGTTTGGGGCGCCTGTTTGTGGGTTGTTACTTGGCTCCACAAAGGTGAAGTGAGAGGGCCTGCTGGAATGGAATGCAAACGTCTGAAAGAACCGGAAGCTGTTCTCTTGTGCACGGGCGCCACCTGCTGGGAGAGCAGCGGCACTGCGCTGACGGCAGGTTGTCTCGGCCTCCTTGGCGTTGACCTTGACTGGGGTCAGTCATCAGGTCTAACCCTGTCCCCAGGCTTTGCCAGACCAGCTTCAGAGAGGGTGGTGTTATGACAGCCACGCTGTAAGGGCTAGGTCTAACCTTGTGCCTTGCCACATTAACCTTTCCTGATTCCCTCCTATGCCAACTATGCCATTTCTGTGCTACCTGCTTTTGACTCCGTCCAGGCATTAGCAGATCCCGCCTTCACCCAGCCTTTACCCTTTCCTTTCGCAGGAGGGTCTTCCTTCAACAGCTGAGCCAGGCCTGTGAGCTCTCTCGCCCTCCTCCTCTTTGCTGAGCAGCCCCCTAGAGGTGCTCTCCGCGAGACTAGTAATCAGACCACTGCGGCTGCTCCGCGGCCTGGCCCCTTGCGTTTCAGATGAACCCAGGTGTGGCCCACAACCTCCTCGTCCTCGTTACAGACCTACCTCACGGCTCCATGGCTCAGCACGGGCACAGGCCCGTGGTTTACATGTGTCTCCTTCCTTCACCGTCCTTCCCTTCACGAGGGTTAGGAAGCTGGGGGCTAGAAAGGGCTCACGATCAAATGCAAAAATTCCTTATTATTTCTATTTCTGGAATGTCTTCCTTGAGACTTTTACCTCATTTATCACCCTAGAATAGTGTGAAGTCTTCAGCCAAGTGACGGCTGCTTAGGCTGTCAGTGCTCGGGGCCGCCCCCAGGAACGCCAGCACTGGGGCAGAGCTTACCACTTGAGTCTCCCAGTGGCTGCCGCTAGCTGAGAAGGTGAGCAGGCACCAAAGTGGCCATCTGAGGTTTTTGTGGGGCTGAAAACAGATATTCCTTCTTCTCCTATTCCAGTTAGAGGGTCACCAAAATAAAACTTCAGCCTTCAGTGTGATAAGCTTTCCCAGCTTGTAAAAAGTTCTCTCAACATTTACTGTGTCTGCATCCCCGAACACATACACTTTCGGGGGTGACGAGTGTACTCCTGCACGCACTTACCACCGTGGACAGGAAATGAGTTTAATTATCCTCAGAACGCATCCTTGTACATTTTCTCTTTATCCAGAGGTTTCTAATTTTATTCTTGCCATGTTTGTGCCAGGGCTACCCATTCTTATTTTCCTGACCCTTGGTGTTCTCCTGTTTCTTCCCTATAATTTGGTAGAACTTTGTCTTATTTCAACTTGTGAAATAAAACACAAAAGTCTGCCTCGTGGTGTTCTATCCATGGCTGGGAAGCTGGGGAAGGTGGTGATGAGCACAACAGGAAGAGTTCCTGTTACCAGGAGGACAGGCAGCACAAGGCCGCGCCTCACAATGTAGGGACTCGGCGCACGCGAGCCCTGTCACAGCACCTCAGCCAGAAGCACCTGTTCCTTCACATGAACACAAATTCTGCCCTGGACACCTCCTGGAAAAGGCAGGGCCAAGCCTGGAGGTTGCGAGAGAAATGCTGACATTTAGGGGCACACTGCTCTCCTGCCTGCACTGGAGAACGGTCTTCTCCATCAAACCAGTCATATACTCACCCTGACACCACCCGGTTTTCCCCTTTAGGCAATTACAAGAACCTATGTTGAAGGAAGATAAATACACAGAGTCTTTTGAGTCTCTATCAAATGTGGTTTTTATTCAACTGACAAGCACTTTTCTACAGCTGCACTTGTGGAACATCACATGGCAAAAACAGGAGTTTTTTTTTTAATCTCTAGACTTTTTTTTCCTTTTTTTTACCTTATTAAAAATGAGATTGGTCCTAAAAATATAGAAAGAAATAAATTTAAATTCACAAAAAACTGTACATTATCAAAAAGTCACTAAAACACCACGTTTGGTTATAAAAAGTCAAGTCCCTTCTGTTGTAAAAGGAACGTGGAGATTGGTTGGTGTCGATGGTGTGGTTTCTTCCTGTTACCAGACTGACGGGGGAAGGGAAACAAAGGGGCGGGGGTGGGTTTTATTTACTTTTAACACTTGCCTTCCCTATCAACACTCTTGTCAAGAAGAGAAAACCCACCTAGCTCAGGGGCAGTGAGGATGAGGAAAGGAAAGAGAAATGGCCCCTTTGATCAGCCCTATCCCCACCCCCCATCAACCCCCACTCCAGACCGAGGCTAGGACTCCACCCCACCTTCAGAGCGCCTGGTCCCTAGGGAAAGAGATGGAGCTGGGAGAGGAACGCAGAGCAGGAACAACTGAAACTTCACTCCCCCGTCCACCTAACCTCCAACGGTAAAATTAATCTAGAACATTTTATACTGGGGAAAACTGCCGTGGGGAAAAAGACGAGCCCCCAACTATAACAGTTCCAAATGCCTGACTAACACAAAGTTTGTTACAGAGCAGTTATTTAGATAAAATATAAATATTTATGCATAATATAAAGTCAATTCAAATATTCTTCAATCCACCTCTTATTTAAAAGAAAAAAAAAAATCTCAAATAAAATTAAAAGTTCTGAGGTTTATCTGACAGAAAAGGCGACTTTAGAGATAGGCTATGGGGGAGAAGGGGCATAAAGAAAGAAAGGGGTCGCCCCAGGACCTACATGCCCCCGCCCCCTTCAGTGGCTATTCAGTGCTGCTCGAAGCACAGGAATGCTCCCCCTCACCCGGCACCCCCTCTCCCACCAGTGGAACACTTCTGGGATGCCTCAGCTCTCTGCTTGGGCCAGCCAGCAGCCACCTCCCCAGTGCAAGTACCCGTAATCTCTGATGGGAGGGGCTCTGCTGAGCAGGAAAGCAGGGGGCCGGGGCCCATGGCTATAGCTGGGAGTTAGCAGCTTTCCTCTCACATGTCGGGGCTTAACGGGCATAGTCACATGTGGGGCAGTGGTGGACCCAGAGCGTCTCCTCCCTACTCACTGTGCTCTGGGGTCTCTGCTACTGGGGAAGGGGTCCCGGGATATAAAGTAGCTACGGGAAGGAAAGCACAACTAAACCCACAGAAGCTCATGGGATTAGGAAAAGATCCAGTTCTACCCCTCTCCCTGCAAAAGCTTAGGACTCAGAGCTGCTGAAAGGAGAGGGTGTTCCTGCTAGAAGATTGCACAGTTTGAAGAGGCTGGAACAGAAACGACTGGGAGAGAGGGAAGAGACACAGCTTTGACCCAGAAAAACTGTTCCTGTGGTTTCCCAAAGACAACGTGATCGTTTGAAACAATGAGAAAGGTGTTTCAATGGTTTGAAACAATGGGAAACAGATACTTGGGAAAAAACTGAATGGATGCCACCAGAAACAGGGGCACAATCACATCCTCTCTCTCTCACACACACACCCACACACCTCTCTCTCCCCGAGGCCAGTCGACTGCTGCCTGGCCTCCATCTTGGGGTGTGCCCGGACTCAGCAGTAGTTGTCCCTGAGGAGTTCCCAAGAGGAGGTCTGGGTAAGAGGCGGGGAAGGAGGCCGGGAGGCCCAGGGTCCAGGGCGCCTCCCGGCCCTCTCCCCAGTTCACTGAGTTTCAGAAAAGGCTAGAAACTCAGCATTTGAGGAGTATCCAACATTATCGAGGGGCTAGCTATTGGCAGGAAGATGAGGACAGAGAGAAAGACAGGGACCTCTGAACTTTTTCCTTTGAAGGGAA